TTGGAAATTCAAAATTCCTCCCTGCACTACCCGAAAATGGATCTAAGGCGGTGGTTTATAATTGGTGGTCTTAACTCTTAACCGCCGCTATTATGACAAAGGTGGCATTCTTATGAAGACCGCCACTTAGAAAAGTAAAACGATGAAAAATAAAAATTGGGCTGCAGTCCTTATTCATTATAACTGACTCGATGGTTTTTGTCCTTAAACCGACTTGAGCCGAACTAAAACCAATTAATCGACCTGTTTGCATGAAAGAGGGAGATAACACAAAAAAAGTTTGAACCCCAAAACTCTCAAACTCTCACGTTCGACAAGAGAAAAGGTTCAACGAACCTTTTGTGGACAACTCCACCGGTAACCAGAGATTGATTGAGACAAAAGGATATGAGCTCTTGAAGTTTTGTATTGCTCGATCTAGCTTTATTTCGACTAGATTTTATAGGATTTTTGTGTGATTGGTTCAGACCGGTGTTTGATCCTCATCAATGATCATGTTTCTTCTTGATTGGTTCTATGACATTTTGCGTCACTTGGCCTTTGGCAGAGAAACGGATATCTTATTTCCAAAGCTTGATAATGTTATAATGTTGGAAGCTACTTCAACATCAAATGACACAGTATCTGACATCGGAGTAACTAAGTATTGGAAAATCAAATTTAAAGCGTTCAATTTGGGAGGGCATTAGATCACTTGTAGAGTCTAAAATGATTACTATGCAAAGGTATACTTAGAATACAATAAGCCAAGCCTTTTTGTGGTTTTGCTTCTTCTGCATTCAAAATGTTGTTATTATAAATTAGAGAGAAAAACATGTTCCAACCTTGAAATTTTATCCCAATTTCTTTGTTTTCTTTGAATTTCTTTGTCTCACTCTTGCCAGAAATGGATAAAAAATGGGTGAGCAATGTTGAATTAATCTAACCCCATTTTCTATTATTGGCGTAGGAGTTACAAGAATGTTTTTTGAGCAAGTGAAAGTCGAGGATCCGGGTGTAGGGGTGCTAATGGATCGGATCATATCCTATTTGGTTGAATTCGGATCACCCTTAGTTGGATTTTCAGATGGATCGGATTCCGATCACCCCTATCCAATCCGATGTATGATATATTTATAAATATAAATATAATATATATATATATATGTTATCTATTTATTTATATTATATTTTTATAAATTTGTTATATTATTTAGTTATTTATAAGAAACATGTATATATATGATGAAAATAATTAAAAATACTTATATTTTGTTTTTATTTAAATTGATATATTTTTTAATAATTTATTAATTTTTAAGGAAAGCAAATCGGATCAAATCAGATCCAAAGATCTAATAGGATTTGAATTTAGATCGAGTCATATCAGATCTAATCAATTCTAACATAAACAATATCGAACCAAATTCAAATATATCCTGATTCGAATCCAATGTGATCCATTTACATCCCTACCCAAGTGTCACTAGCCAGAGAAAGTACATGGTACCTAATGTAATTTTCACCATATCTATTTCAAAGTCCGATATATTAATTCAGCTGTGATGCCTCTAATGCAATAATGCTGTGACATAAATTTTGACCTTTGATCGCTTTGTGTACCAAAATCGTAGCACAACCACTAGAGCACGAGATTTGTTGTGTTTTTTTTTCCTAGTCTTTTAATAATTCATATTTAATACTATATTCTCTATTCTAATACTATATTGTTCGATAGAGCTATGGTATTAAAATAAAGAATAAATCCAGGGCCCACTACTTAGATTACCATTCTCAAATATGTCTTTATGCAACAGATTCCAATCAAAATCTGCACACATGTTTTAAAAAAAAATCTGCACACATGCTTAAAAAAAATCTGCCCACATGCCAACCAACTTCTTTTTTTTTTTTTAATTTCAATACAATTATTATTTAAGAGTAACGTCAATTCAACTTGAGCTTATTTATATTTTATTTTATTGAGATGACACAAATGCCTGTAGCAACAACAAACATTTGAAAATAGTCCAAAAAAGAGGTCAAGGAAATACCTTAAATCAAAACAGTCCAAAAAGCTTTGACGTATTGTAGGGTCTTGGCCAATGCCGGGCGGATGGCATGCTGCACCAGTCCTGGTCGGTTGGTTGTGGCACCGGCTCTATTTAAGACAAGTGGATGTCTTCTCCCGAGTGACAGCGCCTTGGTGCTGATGCTGAACCAACCTGGTCCGGCTCATTATTTTAATTCAGTGTTTGACATTGTCGGTTTAAGTCTAACAAGTGTAAGAGAAGAGCATAGATATTCAAACCCGGTTTAACCCATTCGATTCGAAAGTTGAACCAACCTGGTCCAGCAATCGAGCTAGTTCACCAAGAAGTAATTGGAGCAAAGTCGCAAACTGCAGTAGTTTAAGAATGAAGTTAGTGGTTGATAATTGGCCACCTTGGGTGATGTGGCATGGAAGGTTTTAGAGACCTCTCAATACAATGACAGAAAAATATAAACAGTTCCCACCATTGACATTAAAATGGGGACAAATACAAAATGATATTAAAATTTTGTATTGAAAATGATATTACATTTTCTTTTTTTGTGATGCATTTGCATTTAAATTGGGAGCAAATACAATGAATAGAAGCAACTTCATTAATGTTAAAAATAAAAGACAGATTTCACCCATCACAACCAAATACACTCGGTAAGAATACAAAATTCATCAATGCAAAATGAAATCAAATTGCATTTTCATGTACATAGAACACATTGCATTTGCACTTTTACCAAATACAGCCTTGACAGTAGTTTAAAATATTTTGATCTTTTCTAGTTTTTTTGTTAATAGAGTAGTCGAAAGCTCACAAGTTCACTAGATCACATTAAGGATTGAAGTATTGATACGATACACTTGATACGGGTGTATTGTATTCGTATCCATGTTAACTGGCATAGGATAAGCTACAATTTTGTGTATCTTATCAGTCGTGCGTATTGGCATGATACACCACTATATCAATGCGTATCTCATTGTATCGATGGGTATGCCTTGATAGTCATTGGCATGGAGGTGTATTGGACCCTAATTTGATGAGATACTTCAAAAATTTTGATTTGAGATTTAATTTTCCCAAAAAATTTAATAATAACTGAAAATTATAAAATTAATTTATTTTGTTTATCTTAAGTGATTTATATATTTAACTTTACATATAAATTATATGTTAAAATGAAAAACATATTTATTATTTAAAAAATAGATTTATTATTAATATAAAAAATACTAAATAAATCAATTTCTCAAAAATTTAATATAAATTATAAAAAAAATGAAATAAATAACTTAAAAGTTAATTTCCCCAAAATTTTAATAAAAATTTAAAAATATAAAAATAATTTATTTTATCTACATTAAATGATTTATATGTTTTATTTTAATATTATATATAAAATAAACAATTGTATGTTAAAAATAAAAGTATATTTATTATTTTATTATTTAAAAAAAATAAAGGTTATTTATATAAAAATACTAAACAAAAAATTTCCCCAAAAATTGATAAAAATTAAAAGTTATAATTATATAAACTAAAATAGAGTGACAATTATTGTATGATATCTACATCCCATGTTGTTGATTATAATGTTTATGTTCATATAACTTTAATAAGTGTGTGTTTCTTATATATTTTTATCTCTTTCATATTTAATTAAGTTTTAGATTTTAGTATTGTTATCATATTTATGTAATTTACATATATTTTTCTATTATATACAAGCATTTTAATATCTTTTATCTGTATCCATATGTTTTAACCTAAACCGAATAACCGACTATTAAAAAGAGAAAAAAACCCGATTCAGAAAAGCTTATGAGGTCACCAACGCACTTTGGCGTTGGACCCCACTGGCCACTGCTACATGACACTTTCAGCAGACGCCACGCTCCTCAATTCTAACGTACAGATCAAGACGAACCCTCGATCTTGTTTTCAGCTAAAGTTCCAATTCCACTGCATCATTGAGCTCAAATGATTTTGGGTGTCCACACTTTGCTTCTCTTTACAAAGAAACTGACCAAAAGACAAAAAAGGAACAACCAACTAAAGTTGGGAACCAGGATTATCCCTAAGCTCTCAAAATAATCTACAAATAATTTAGCGTTATAATTAAATTAATAAGTCCTTATTTTTTATTAATTACCTATATTCCAAGTGAGATATCCACTGAATGAGATGAGACTCTTGCTGGCTTTAAACCCTAATTTGGAGATTGAACAGTTTTCTCTTTTGGGTCATTGATTCAATGGTTCAACCGTCCGAATCAACAGGTCAAAACATCATGTTATCAATATAAAGAATTTCATATAAAAAAAAGCCAATCATTCATCATATAGGTTAATGATTCAACCATGTGGGTCGACATGTCATTGATTAAATCTTGGTAACATACAGTGCTAGAGGGGTGACCCAAATTGGGATTGTACTGGATCAGCATACCATTGGTCTGACCGTCGGGTCAACTATGGGTTCAAAACTTTCCCTAATGGGGTGATTGGCATTGGATTTTTCTCATTTGATCTACCCAGAAGTTCCAAAGTTCTAATTAGAAATTGCCCACAAAGAGGCTTTTTTGATCTTGCCAGGTGTCATATTTCTAGGTTGTTCATTAGACTTCACGTCACAAAACCACTGAACTTGGAGATCAGTAATCAGTTTCCTGGAGTCCAATGGGTAGATTAATTGAGGACCGGCCCCAGATGATGGTCCACACTCCAGCGGGGTCAGTCGGAGCCGGGTCAATGTCTATCACGTTGGTGCCGCGTGGAACCAAGACGCATCAATGTCTATCACGTTGGTGCCGCGTGGAACCAAGGCGCAAGGAACCGGACTTAAACTTTACATAATGACGAAAATGACCTCATTGAATTGGGCACCTTTTTGTCGTCCTCAGCTGAAGCACACGTGCCAAAGTGGCGATGTGAGGTTTTTGGTTGAGAACAAGGAACAATCAGACATCATCATCATTCATTATCGTTTTCCAACCAACATGAAACGAAAAAAAAAATAAAAAAATTTAATTTAGGAGGGATAGAGACAGAGAGCTGATTTGTTTAGCAAACCCTAGAAAAATCCAGAATCTAAACCCTTGAGTCTTGACCCTTCAGGTTGTTTATTACAAAATCAAAAAAAAAAAAGAAAAAGAAAAAAATAGTCGTTTTCTCCCATTGAAAGCGAAGTCTGCATAAAAGAAAAAAAAAGGAATTGCAGAGAGGGAGAGAGAGATAGAGAGAGAGAGAAGTGTAAAGAAGAGAACGAAGGCAACCAACGCTACCTTAAGGCCGCAGCAAAATTCATTTCTATATCTGGGTTCCTGAATCCACACTCTCTTCCGTGATGATTCATCCAGAATTTTCACATTCAATCCCTTCAATGGAGCTTGAGGTGTCAAGCAGTTCGGCATTAATGCCGCTGGAAGCAGAGCTGGTGTAGGGGTTTCTTTGCCTTTGTGCATTGATCGAAATTCTTGAATATGGCGTTGTTTCGCAAACTCTTCTACAAGAAACCGCCCGACAAACTTCTGGAGATCTCTGAGAGAGTTTACGGTACGTTGGCAAATGACATTTTGATTGGAGTTTTTTATGTGATTTCATAAAATTTTCTCGTCAACTGTTGATAGGTATTAAAAAAAATCTACACTTTGGTTTGTATTTTGGATGCTTGAAGTTTCTAATTGCAATTATTGTTTGAAGTCCCATTGTTTTTCGATTTTGAGTTTGGTTGGAGCATCTTGTACTCTGTTACGTGGTCGTGGTAGGTCTGTTCAATGCATAGTTTATTGGTTTGACATATTACAGCCTATGGATACAAAAACGAACGGACAGTGAAAGGGGAAAGAAAAGAAGAGAAGAAATTAACTCCAGTTGATGGTTTGACTTAAGCATGATGGACCTCAGCGGAGCTTCAAATTAGATACTAAAGTCTTGGGCAATCCCGTAAGATTGCATAGTGTAAATAGACCACAGTGATCCTCTTTTTAATCTTCTCTGCAGAAGACAACTCCAACAGATTTCCTTAAGAATTTTCTCCTTAGGCTCAGTTTGGAAGGAGTACAAATACAAATTTGTAGAGTGCAAAACTATGTATTTTATATTATTTTGTATGGATTTGTACTGTACATATTTGTATTTGTACTCCTTCCAAACTAACCTTTACAAGCTACTAACCGAAACTGGTGCAACCATTTTATCGTATTACCAATGGGAGCCAACATTACAAAAAGGAACATCCTCCTCTTCTGTATGATTAACTAATTCATCTTTAAGTAGGTAAAAAATTTATGGTCTTATGCCAATCCTTAGTGTAGGCATGTGATGACTAGGACTTCAGTTGTCTATTGACATTCTTTGCTACTAGCTACTCCTCACACATCCTTAATCATGTCCCAATCTGACTTCTAAGTTCCCCCCCTCCCCCCCCCTCCCCACCCCAAGAGAGAAAAAAAAACATGAAACCAGAAGAAATAAGCATGGAAACCTATTAAATGATTTACCTAGCTTGTTATTCCGCTTGTTTCAATGCCTTTGAGTGTCCGGCATGACTCCTCGTTTGGTCCCTAAAGCTTCTATGAGTTGTTGTTCACAGTGAAGATTTTAGCTTTCCTCTCTTTTAGTTAATTCTTTCTTTGTTTTAGCTGTTTGATATGCTTGGTTTTGGTCAACATATGATTTATATTGTCTAAAGGCACATCATTTTGTTTGAGAGGAACAAGAATGTTATATGTATACACACACACAGATGTACACTCCTATTAAGATTGAAGGTATGATTACTAAGCTTGCATTTAGTTTCAATTGCATAAAAAATATTTATTTATATGGTTCTCTGTTACAACTGTCTGTGTATAGTTTTCGATTGTTGCCTTTCCACGGATGTCTTGGAAGAAGATGATTATAGGGTCTACATGCAAGGCATAGTGGGTCAACTTCGTGACCACTTTCCTGATGCTTCATTCATGGTGTTTAACTTCCGAGAAGGAGATAGACAAAGCCAGATTGCCACTATTTTGTTGGAGTATGATATGACTGTAATGGACTATCCTCGTCAGTATGAAGGTTGCCCATTACTCTCAATGGAAGTGATTCACCATTTCATGATGACGGGTGATAACTGGCTTTCACTTGCGCAAAAGAATGTGCTATTAATGCACTGTGAACGAGGTGGGTGGCCATTGTTGGCTTTCATGCTGGCTGGGCTATTGATTTATAGGAAGCAATGCACTGGAGAGCAGAAGACCTTGGACATGATCCATAAACAAGCCCCTCGTGATCTTTTGCAGTTGCTGTCACCTCTAAACCCGCTGCCTTCTCAATTGAGGTATCTACAATATGTCTCAAGGAGGAATGTGGGTTCAGAATGGCCACCATTGGATAGGGCACTTACATTGGATTGTGTCATGTTTCGAGTTATTCCTAATTTTGATGGAGTGGGAGGTTGTAGGCCAATATTTCGGATATATGGACAGGATCCTTTCATGGTTTGTGATCGGACTCCTAAAGTTCTGTTCTCGACACCAAAGAAGAGCAAAGCTGTACGGCTTTATAAGCAGGTAGCTTTAGTTTCTTTAATTTATGTAATTTTTTTTGCTTCTTTTCTTGTTGAGGTTACTTATTCTTTTTCCTTCTGATAAACTATTTTCCATTTGCTTTTTTTTTTTAATCTTTTCCCCCATACATATAGAAGTAGTATGACACTTTGACTTACAAGTTGTCTTTCTGAGAATGATGTAGTGACAGTCTTTCTATTAAATGGACTTTCTTCCTAACCTGCATCTTTCCTTTTAATAATGTTTTATGGAACAAAAGGAAATATTAGATACTTGGATGGTCAGATGACTTATGATGTTGTGTTTTTGTTTCATTGGACACATGACCCTCATAAAGCAACTGATGCTATTCCACATATCTGCATTTACGTTAAGTGGTTTGGCTCACTTTGAAGGTGTTTAATTTACACCTTGAAATTTGTGCCAAACTGCAAATGTACCCTTAGAAGTTAATGCTCTATCCTTATATTAAGGTTGAGAATTTTTTTTTTTTTTTACTCTGTGCCTGCAGTTATCCAGGTTGGCCATTGAACTTGTTGTGAACATGACAAGATGATTCTAAGTCCCACCATGGATATCTTCCAGGTGAAGCCCTGAATTCTAAACCAGGGGGGGGATCTCTTAGTACTGACTTTAATTCCAGCATAGAATTAAGGTTCTTAAAATTGGATTAGGGAGAAAAATGGAACTTGTCTGATTTGATGGATGTAAGCATATAATTTGTTTACTTATTTCTGGAGAGTTAATATTTTCCCGACCTGTTCAGAGGAAGGGGAAAACGGTAAAATATATCTTTAGAGTTGATATCATGGGGGGAGGGGGTTAGAATGATTGGATCCCAGGTCTCTGCTATGGGTCAGAGATCCTACCAACTGAGCCAACATTAGTTGGTTATGAGATCTTCTGGTTGGGCTTATAAAATCATGACCAATAATATGATTAAACTTTATGCTTTTTTTTTTTTTTTAATTTTCTATACTTAAAGACATCACTCAAACCATGACTGTCTTTAGGAAAAATCACTTCTTGGACCCTGCCTAATTATTTATCAAATAAAACTCCTAAATACCTTGGTGCAGGCAGACTGCAAATTCGTTAAAATCGACATTTACTGTCATATTCAAGGTGATGTCGTGCTGGAGTGCATTAGCTTAGATGATGATCTGGAACGTGAGGAGATGATGTTTCGAGTCATGTTTAACACAGCCTTCATTAGATCAAATATCTTGATTCTTAGCCGTGATGATATTGACATCTTGTGGAATGCCAAGGATCGGTTTCCCAAGGAATTCAGAGCAGAGGTATGTGCCTTTCCTGCTTTATTTGAATAGCCTAGCTTAAATTAGTGGCTTTCTAATTTTTTTTTTTATATATATATATAATTTTCTGTGTATGGTAAAGGTTCTTTTCTCAGAAATGGATACTGCTGCCTCTCCTAGCGCAATGGATTTGCCTTGTTTTGAGGAGAATGAAGGCCTTCCTATGGAAGCATTTGCTAAAGTTCAGGAGATATTTAACAATACAGATTGGCTAGATCCAAAGGCAGACTCTGCTGCTATAAATTTGCTTTGGCAAAGGAGTCTATCAAATATTCTGCAAGAGAGGTTGGGGGCTGCTGCTTTAGAGGATTCAGAAATTAGAGCTCTGTTGCGGGTGTCAAGTACTGAAAGGGCTATGAAGAAACTGAAGCCTGTAGCATCACAAAATAACATTAAGATCAGAGATTCAATGGCAGATGCTGCTGCTATAAATTTGCTTTGGAGAAGGAGTGTATCAAATGTTCTGCAAGAGAAGTTGGAGGCTGCTGCTTTAGAGAATGCAGAACTTAGATCTCTGTTGCAGGTGTCAAGTACTGAAAAAGCTATAAAGAAACTGAAGCCTGTAGCATCAGAAAATAACATTAACAGCACAGATCCGAAGGCAGACTCTGCTGCTACAAATTTGCTTCAGAAAACAAATTCATCAAATGTTCTGCAAGAGAAGTTGGAGGCTGCTGCTTCAGAGAATGCAGAAAATAGAGCTCCGTTGCAGGTGTCAAGTACTGAAAAAGTTATAAAGAAACTGAAGCCTGTAGCATCAGAAAATGACATTATGAGCACAGATCCAAAGGCAGACTCTGCTGTTATAAACTTGCTTCAGCAACCAAGTACATCAAATGTTCTGCAAGAGAAGTCAGAGGCTATTGTTTTAGACAATGCAAAAACTAGGATTCCGTTGCAGGTGTCAAGTACTGAAAAGATTATAGACAAACTGAAGCCTGTAGCATCAGAAAATAACAATAAGAACACTATGTCTGTGGCACTGCAAAAACAGTCCATGCCTTCCTTTAAATCATCTGCAGGTTCAGATTCACCTAAAAGGAAGGTTCAGCCTCAAGATCTACAGGTTGCACTTCAAAGACCCACTCAATCAAAGATCATAGCACAACGAACATCTTCTTGTTCTCTGTCAAATCCAGTTTCATATTGTAATCCTCTACAAGTATCACCTGTGCCAATGTCAAGATATCATAGTGCACCCTCAACTCTTGGTATTACAGCTCTCTTGCATGATCATACTTCAGATGGAAGTGCAGAAGCCACTCTTCTTGTGACTACACCACCTCCACCCTCTGCACCATTGGTTCCTGCTATTCCATGTTCACCTAAACCTCTAGGGTCCAATATTGTTTCATCAATACCACTGCCACCTCCTCCTCCCTTATTACCTAATACTTTGATTGCTTCTACCACAATAACATCTATAATCTCTCATCCACAACCACCTCATTGTCAACCCACTCTAAAACTTTCAGTTCCTTCTTTAACCCAGCATTCCAGAATCTCATCAATGGGCAGAGGCCAGTTGTCATCAGCTCCTCCTCCTCCCCCACCTCCACCTCCACCTCCTTCCTGTTCGGGGCTACCATTATCTGTCATTACCACTTCAGATTCAGTTCCTTCTTGTCCTCCACCAGTACCCCCATGTTCAGGGTCCACTGTTGGGAATTTATCATCAGCACCACCTCCTCCCCCTCCTCTTTTTCCACCTAAGACTGGTTTCTCAGACCCCTCTTCCCCTCATCCTCCCCCTTCACCTATGAAGAAACCAGGATTTCCAGCAGGTCCTCCTCTCCCTCCACCTCCTCCTATACCATCAGGTCTTTCCCCAGGTTCTATTAATGTATCTTTGGCACCACCACCCCCTCCACCCCCTGGTTTTTCATCACAAAGTTCTGGGCCACCTGTGCCTCCTCCTCCAGCTCCTTTCCCCAATGGCGTTTCAAGGACCGGTGATGGGTCACAATTTCCTTCTGCAGGCAATAGTGGAACTGGTGGTGTTGCTCCACCTCCCGGACCACCTTTTGGTGCAAAGGGACGGGGACTACCACGTATTACAAGTTCAAAGAATCAACCCAAAAGAACCACCCTGAAGCCATTGCATTGGTTCAAATTAACGAGAGCAATACAGGGAAGCCTATGGGATGAGATATCTAAGTACGTTATTCTTGTGTGGTGTTTGCATTCTCTTTCATTTTGTGATTAATGACTTTTCCCATTTATAGAATTTCACTGGAACTTTTTGAAAGGTGGTGGTTTCACTAGAACTCAAAAGATAAAAAGGAGAGGCTGAAGAGGAAGAGATTTCCGCGACTATCTCATTGGCACTTAATTAACTGTTTTTATATGTATGTATTTTTTATGCTAGGTGTCCAGGGGTTGTTGAAATGCCTGAACTGGAGAATCTTTTCTCAGCAGCTGTTCCAAATTCTGAACGAAGGGGCTCAGATGGAAGCTTAAGCCGGGCTTCCTCAGCTGGACGTAAATCTGATAAAGTCCAATTGGTAATTTATCTTTGGTTCTGAAGTGATACTGTATAATTGACTAATATATATTTCAATATTCAAGGATGTAGCCCATTTATATATGATTTTGTTTTTCAAAGTATCATACTGTATTCCTTCTGTTCAAAAATACATAAGATCTTCTACACCAAGGTACTGTATATTGGGAATTTACAAGTAGAACATATCTAAGTATTTTGTGTTGTTTGTTAATTTTTTCATCTTACAAGCTAGTGAGTTCTTTTTTTTTTTCTGATAGATAATAAGGAAATTTTATTAAAAAGGAAAAGCTGAATACTAACTAAAGGCAGGTGTTAAGATAACACCCCTGGCCCACCAACTACTTCGTCTACTGCCTACCACAAAGAGGAACCGAGAAAGAGAAACACGAGAGAGCACAAACACAGCAAGCACTACACCAGCCAAAGTGCCGATCAATTTTCCACATCATCAATCTCTTCTGGACCTCCTTCCTCATCCCAAATCCCCCCATCTCTTCCAGAACTTTCTCATGCTTTCCAACTTCCTCTTTTTTCTCCATAGCTTCAAAAGCTCTTCTAGCAAATTCCTCCCCTCCTAAAAAGAACAAACCCAAGGACTTTCCGATTTCCACTTATCTATCAACTAGAGTCTTCAAGTCCACTCCTCTTAGCTCTATTGCCTTGTCCCCCGCCGTCACTTGACTCACTTCGGCAGAATTCAGAAACCTCTTTTGAGATAACATCGAATTGATTTGTTTTTCTGAACCGTTATGCCTTTTCGATTCCATCCTTTGGGACTCCACCACAGGGGAAACCTTTCCAGCCCCTCCGGAAGAGAGAGACGACTCCAGACACGAGTTCTCACGACTTGGGGAGTTATTTTTAACCCCTTTTCTTCAGTAAATTCTTTTATACTTATTGGTCGGTCCAGCTCCCACCAAACCATCTTTCAGTCTTGAGAATACCTTCATAACATGAATCACGTTAAGCTTGTTTGAACCTCTGGTCTTCTTAGGAATTTCCAAGACCGCACCATTTCCATCCAACCTCTTCTCCTTATCCCTATGACCCAAATCAAATCCAAGTCTTCCAACAACCACTTCGAAAACCTCATAATTGACTTTCTTCCTAATTAACCTAGTGAGTTCTTTGACTGGAACTTGATTCAGGTTGGTCAAAGATATGCAGGGTTTGTAGTTTAGAGGTTACACATGAAGAGAGTTTCAAATTAAATAAAGGAATTATAGGAACTAGAAGTAATATGAGGGCATTTATCCAGGGTGATTATGTTCAACAATTTTTGGAGATTGAAGAGGATGTTGCCCATAGATACAAAATGGGGTAGATGATGTGGAGATTAGGGGTATGGATTGGTTTGTAGAGCAGGCTCTAGGAATCTAATTAAAGGTTGGAGAGTTGGTAAGGATGGGGTACCCCTAACCCACCTGCAATTTGTGGACGATATGGTTCTATTTTGTGAGGATGGTGATTGTAGGTGGTTTAGGAATCTGAAACTTACTATATAGTTGTTCGAGCAAATGTCTAATCTAAAAGTGGATTTTGACAAAAGCTGTATAGTAGGGGTGAATCTTGAGGGAAGAGTGGTGGAGTGTGCATGCATTTTAGGGTGTGTGGTATCCAATTGGCCAATGAAGTACTTGGGTCTACCTCTTGGGGATAAACCAATGAAACAAAATTTTTGGGATCCGGTGGTAGGGAGATTTGAAAAGCGGTTAGCTGCTTGGAAGAGGGATTATTTGTCTCTTGGGGGAGAGCCACCTTGATAATATCTATCTTGCAAACCTTCTGATATATTTTATGTCAGTTTTTAAAATGCCAGGGAAGATATCGAGGAGGCTGGAAAAATATAATGAGGGATTTTCTATGGGACCCAGGTGAGGAGAAAAAGGATCATAGGGTTAGAAGTGATTTGGTGAGTAGAAGTAAAGAGTGTGGAGGCCTAGGACTAGGGAACATTGAGAAGAGGAACGTGGCATTGTTGGGTAAGTGATTATGGAGAATTCCCCTAGAGAAAGAAAAGTTTTGGGCGAAGATTGTGGTAAGTATTCATGGGCTTGCAAGCAATGATTGGGATGCTGGAATCTCGACTAGGACTACAAAGCTTCTCCATGGAATCTCCAAGCCTCCTTACCTCTCTTCATCCCGTGGATAAGTATGATCTACACTCTGGTAATCTTATTAAATTTTGGGATTTTGGGTTTTAGAAGAGCAGTTAAGGGGAGTCAGAATTGAATAATACCATGTCCCTTCTCAATATTCTTGAAAGAATTTTTCTGGATCCTACTATTTCAGATAGAAGGGTATGGACCTTATCAGCCTTTGGGGCTTTCTATTGTGCTTCCTTCTTCAAAGCCTTAGTTCATCCATCAGGTCAGTTAGGGTAGCCTTTTCCAGTTAAGGAAGTTTGGTGCAAACCGATTCCTCCAAGGGTTGGGAGTTTCTGTTGGGAAGCAATCTTGGAAAGAGTCAACACATATGATCTTCTTCAGAGAAAGAGGCCTAAGAGTTGTTTTCTCCTCACTGGCGTGTCTTTGCAAGGCTGAAGGTGAGACTGGTTATCATTTACTGATTTCCTGCTCTGTTACTAATCACATTTGGGAGTGGTGTTTATCTTTGTTTGGGTGCAAATGGTCTCCTCCACCAGATGTATAGAGCCTTTTTGCTCCCTTCTTTTAGCTGGTTGAAAAAAAGAGGAAGAGTCATGTGGAGATGCCTAAGGGCTGCTGCTTGTTGGACCATTTGGGAAGAAAGGAACGGGAGAATTTTCACATAAAAGGAAAGAAGTCTGTTAGAAACTCTGGAGTTAATTCAGATAAGAGTGGTGCATTGACTGAAGTCTATGGTACTATTTAAGGACTTTTCATCCGATGAAGTTTTTTAAAGAATTTGGAAGGAAATCACAATTTCAGCTCTGGTTAAAGACATCCCCTACCTTCTTGGACTCCTCCCAGTGGTTTTGTCAAACTTAATTTCGATGGAAGTAGCATGGGCAACCTGGGTCCATCAGGAATTGGGGGTGTCTTAAGAAGTGAGGAGGGTGTGGTAGTTGCTCTATTTTCAGGGCCAATAGGAGTGGGCGGTTCTCTTAGAGCTGAGATTTCAGCTATCGATGGAACTCAAAAGGCACTTGAATTGAACATCACCAAATTTGGTCATAGAGGGTGACTCTAAACTGGTAGTGGATTGGCTAAAAAACGATACAAATAATTTTTGGAACTACAATAATGAGAAGAGAAAATTCAATTGGTTGACTAAGAATATTGAGGTGAAGATGAGTTGGGTTAAAAGAAGTGCTAACTCCTTTGTTGATGGGTTAGCTAAACAGGGGGCAACTAGGGCTCTTTATTTTGGGCCATCTTGTAATTTTTTTCTTTGTTTTCTTGTTTTGGTTGGGGGAGATAAGAGAGGTTATCTCCCCTTTATTGTTCCCTTGTATCTTTTCTCTCTATTTTTAATGAAATCTGTCAGTTATTGATCTAAAAAAATGGTGAGATTAGGGGTGGATTTGAGCCGAGCCAAGACAAATATCTGGCTATTTGGGCTCGGCTCACCATGACACTCGAGCTTGAGCTCAAGGTTGATTCAAGCTAGAGACTGGCACTCGAGTTTGGTTCGACTCAAAAGTTTGTAGGTTCAAGCTCATCTCAGCTTGGGCTCGACTGTGGGCCAAATTTCCTATAAAAATAGAAAGTATTTTTTATTTTACATATAAAAAATAAGAATTATAAAAATAAGTTTTAATTATGAATAATGTCAGATCAGATTTGAATATACCCTGATTCGAATCCGGTCCGATCCGTTTACATCCCTGCCCAAGTGTATTAATATTAGGCTTGCGATCCTCACGAGTAGAGCTCGAATAGCTTGTGAAAAGCTCGACTTGTTTCCACCCCTAGTGGAGATGTGCCATTTGAGTGTAGCATAGCTGAAGATATCACTTTGACTGAAAGGAAATTTTATAAGACATCTAAAAGACCTATAATGTTTTATAGAGCAAAATGTTGGTTACTAAGGACAGTAACTCACGACTATCATCATCTTATTTTGACCAGTTTGTTCATTCAAAGTCTTCATCTTGTTCAATTGGAGAATTGAGTGGGGCCTAGGCCTTGAATGTTGTTTTTTAATAGCAGGAACTAGTAAGGTCAATCGGTTTAGGAAGGGTAAAGTGGACAAGAGAAAGCTTTTAGGCTTTAAACGACCAAAATTTAAAAGGTGTGAGGTGTTGGGAAGGTGTGCCTGGACTCTGGACTGAGGTTAGAAAGAAAAAGGGAGAAAAGGTGGGTTTGGTAATCACTGAGTATGATAAGAGTGGTAAGAAGAGGATTGTTGGAGGATTAGGGGCGAATCTTGTTGATCACTAATCTTCTTCTATGGATGGAATACTTAGTTTCTGCTCTCAGTTGTTAGAGATTCTACGGTGATTTGCATCTCTTCTGAGCCAGGGTTGCTGCTGCGGCATCTCAAGAAATCAGGTACAATTTCAGAAAACCAGCTCCATTGGTCTCTGAGGAGGTTTTCTCTGCTGAGGTTGAGAGGCTGGAAGAGGGGAGGAGGTAGTTGGGGAATGGTGTGCCAATGGTGATGCTGAAAATGAGGACAGACATGAAACCAGAGGAAAGGGGGCTATATTTGATGGTGGCAGTGTTGGTGGCCAGGATAAGAGCCACGTTGGTGACTATTTTTGTTTTGAGCAGGTGAAAAGGTTGGAAGGTTGGGTGTTGATTTGGATTGAAGGTGCAAGACTGAAGAGAAGGAGTTGTTAAACGGGGTGCTTAGTAAGAAAATGCGTAGCTCAACAAACCCTAATGTTGTGCATGTGACGAAAATCTTTTCTAGGCTGAAGCTTGATATGGCTGGGGCAGGACCTGCAAAAAACTACAAATGGGTTTACTACATGAGAAAAAGGTATGAGAGGCAATTTGTCATCTGGCAGTGATCATAGGGAGGTGATGATGCAGGTTCAGCCATTGGGCTTCCATTTGGGGAAGGAGCAACAAGACAACAAGGTGAGTGTTGATGGTCCTGATTCTGTTGCGAATTTGATGTTGCAAAGTAATGATGATAAGGATGGCGTTTCACGATGTGTGTCTCTTCAGAAAATAGTGGAAAGAGATGTCAATTGGTAAAAGCCTGGGTTTCGTTTTTTAGGATGGTGAGGAGTTTGAAAGGAGAAGGGAAGAGAAGTTGAATAAAAAAGTTCTTGGAGAAGGCTAGCATGAAATGAGGATGATTCAGGCCAGGAGGATGTGCTCGTGGGTGAAGAATGAGGCCTCGGTTTGCAAGTAGTAGTTGCATTTTTGTTCAGCTGTCTGGTTGGTGCTTCTCTCGTTTCAAGGGTTTTTTTTGGGGGCTATTTTTGATCTTCGTTTAAGTCTGATTTGATGAACTTTTTTGTTTGTAAGTGATGCGTTTTTTTTTTTTATTTTTTTATTTTTATTTTTGGGTTTTGTTATGGGGTCTTTGATGTTGAAATGTTGGGTCCTTTGTTTGCTTTCTCTTCTGGGTGGTGTCTTATCAACTTTCTGCTGTATTTCTTTTCCTTTTTAATGAAAAATTCTCTTTATTTTTCAGAAAAAATAGAGCAAAATGTTGGGCATTCAGAAAATGTATGTTTTTGCAACTTTGGTATGTGAATGATACTATCATGTTTTATGATGATTAAGGAAATTAGGATAACAACTTAAATTAAAATCTTGAATGGCTACCACCTTTTCAGGTCTCAAAACCAACTTAAATAAGTCTGCACTACTGTGGTGAAGTTGGAAGTAAATGTGTGTATTTATTTTTTGTTTTTTTAAAGCTAACTTTCAATCAGAAAAGGGAAGTTTTTTTTGAAGATAACTAAAAAAAATTATTAAAACAAAAAGAAGATACACGGAAAGGTGATAAGCAATCACCCAAAGAGAACATAAGAAAACAAGAAAAAACACTCAACAAGATTAAAACAACAACCATCCATCCCAACCTACCCACACATGGCCAACCCCTTTACACCAAAGCTCTTACAACCAACACATAAATGATACAAAATAGATTGAAAAAATACCGATCTTCATATCCCAAAAAATCGACGCCCTTAACCATTCCCATCACCCATACCTAACACCCGGCTAAAAACCAAAACAAAACCCAACCCCTAATTGACTCTGACTCAATCAGTCTTTTCGTTTGAATCTTGGATGCAAACTTCTTGTTATCTTTTGACTACATTTTTATGTTTTCTTACTGCCTTGTTAGGCCCAATGCCAAACAGAGCACCTTTTAGCCTTGCAAAAAGCTTTGACACTGTTATTTGCTGATGACTTTTCCTAACCTTCTAGATCTGCATCTTTTAGCTGTGGTTAAGGTTCCTGTAGCTTTTTTCAACCTTGCGGCAAGTTCCTGGCCTCTATCTGACCCCTCCACCTCCTCCAAATCCTCTTCCTTTTCATTGGTTCCATTCTTGCATCTTCCAATCGTCTCCTTCATCCCTTGAAGGATTAACTTGAGTTACAGTCAACCAGTGGCTCCTGTTTATTATTGTTCTCCCCATTTCTTGCTTCCACAGACTTAAAAGCTTCCTTTTCAAACTCCTCCCCACCTAAGAAAAACAAACCTAGAATCCTGCTGACTTACACTTCCTTATTTATCACTTTTTCAATGTCACAGCTCTTCTCTATCTTATGGACTTCATCTATCATCGAATCATTCTCATTTTCTTCCCCAAATTGCTCTCCTACATCCGCTATCTCCCCTCCCTTCTCTGTTTTCTTCTAATGGAAAAGTTCTATATCTTTTCCTTTTATATGTGTTAACCCCACCCCAACTCTTTCTTCCTTCACCCTCGTTTCCCCCCTCCCTCATTCCCTGCTCCTTTCTCCCCTTCTTTCTCCTCTACAACGTTAACATCCCCTTTTCCTTCTCTGTCCCCTCCTAACACTACCTCTTCTCTCGTTTTCTTCTTCCCTTCAACCCCACTCAATACTTCTCTTTGAATGATCTCCTTCTCTTCCTCAACTCTAGCTTCTTCTCTTTCCGGCATAGTCCTATTTGCCTTTGTTGAGTTATTGGGCCCAAGGCCCATTAGTTTATGTTTTAGACTAAGAGTGTTTACTTAGTTTTTACAAGTAGCCGACTTACTAAGGGCATACTTGTCTTTGTATTCAGTTTTATTTATGAGTATATAAGCTAATGAAAGGGGCCCAGATATGATTTTTGGCTTCTCCCCATTCTCTTCAACTTTTCTCCTTTTCTCTTCTCTGCAAAGACCTTCTTTTTCTTTATTTCTTTCTCTCCACAGATTTTATATCAAAACAGAATTTTTGCACTATTAAGGGTTTCTTTGTAATTTTACGTTTAATTGCAATTAGGTCTAATAAAATAAGTTTAGGGGGCTGGGAAGAAGCTGCATTCTCTTCTCTCCAAACCCTTTTTCTCCCACATCTTTTTTTTTGAAAGAAGGTAAAGTATGATTATATTAATAACTGGTCCTTTGTAGAATGAGAATCTGTACAAAAATGACCTCAAAAAAAAGTCCACTCTCAAAAAAGTATGATCAGAAGTTAATTTCTGTACACTCTCAAAAAATGTTCACTCTCAAAAAAAGTCCTCTCAAAAAAGAATCTGTACAAAGGTTCTTTTTCTCTCACATCTCTCTTGTTATGTTCTGAACTTTCTTCTCTCCTTTTCAGCTTATTTTTCTTGACCAAATAAGTTCTTGCTGTTCTGTTTTATTTCTTACGCAAACCAAAATAATTGGAATTTATTTGAGGTTGTTTGTTTTTTCTTAAGTTTGGAGTTATCCCTCCAATTATCTTTAAAGCAAGTTTGCATATCTTGGCACCATCTCCTGAGTGATAGATGGAAAATGGAGTTCACAATAGCACCCTAGATGGTAATTCGGAGTATCAGTTATTAATGCGTGTACTGTTTATTGGTCAATCATCAGGTATTGGAAGCCTGGTGGTGAACTTGCAGATTAATATGCATGAATTGTGGAGGGATCATGGATCCATAAGCATAATTTACGTGACTTAACTGTCTCCCAGATTGAAAATCTGTCAGCTAAGACATGGTTAAATGGTTCCTATATTCTAATTTCTTCTCCATAATGGAAAGATGACCTGCTCAATTATGAGTAGTGATCTCAAAAAAAAAGAGTGTTGAATTTGAAGTTATTGTGTATTTTTTTCTTACTCTTTTTTCTGTTGTTTTTGACAATTTCTTATTCTTTATTTTCTGTTATGTCATGGTGTTGAACTGATTATCATACCAGAACAACAATTCTGTTTTTAATATCCCATGATAACTGTTTATGTCTTGCAGATTGATCTAAGAAGAGCAAATAATTGTGAAATTATGCTTTCAAAAGTTAAGATACCTTTACCAGATCTTTTGGTAAGCTGATAGATGTTGCTTTAAAGTTTTTAAGCACATTATCTCCTTTTTCTTTTCTTTGCTTTTATTTTATTTTATTTATTTTTTCCTTCGCAAGAATGTTTCCTCTCCATTGTAAGTAGTTTGGGTTCAGCATGAGCTTCTTCAATTGTAGCAGTTAGGGCATGCCTCTTTGTAACTTTAAGCCTGTTTGTTCAAGTTCCTGGATAATGTGTACTGTCTCTTTCTTCCATAATCTCTTTGTCACCTAGTGCCTGACTGCCTGGGCTAGCATTGGCTGCCTTCTTTCACATAGAAACTGTATTCTTCCCAGTTACATTATGTGGCGATAAAACAGTTTTTTGGATTGATCCTCCCTCGTGTTCTTGTGTTTTCATTGGTATTGTACAGAGTTCAGTGCTTGCATTGGATGAGTCGGCAATGGATATTGATCAGGTTGATAACCTAATTAAGTTTTGCCCAACAAAAGAGGAGATGGATAAATTGAAGGTAGAGAGTTATTTCGAACTATTGTTCTTTTGCTTTATAAATCGGGACTCCTATATATATGTATATTTCTGTTTCATTTCTTCTATCTTCCCTATTGTCCTTGAGATTAAAAAAGTGAGGTACTGTTGACAATTACAGTCTCCTATTCTTACTGATCCTTTCCATGTGCAGGGCTATGATGGGGACAAGGAAAATTTAGGGAGATGCGAACAGGTTTAGTTGGCTTCTATTTCCTCTTCTTTCTTTCTTTTTTTCTTTTTTATTCATATTAATCTTTATCTTTCTAGTCATGGCAATTTTATAAATTCTTTAGTATTCATTAAAATTGTCGGTTGTTAGGTTAATAAAGCAGTATGATTTGATGGTTTTGTCTGGTTAATGTTTCATCATTATTATCATCATCCATGCCTTATCTCAACTATATGGAGTCCGCTACATGAATCCTGTTTTGCCAGTCCAATATGTTTAATACCATATCCATTTTAAATTATTGGTGCTTAAATCATTTCTTACTACTTCTATCCATGCCCTTTTTGGTCTACCCCTTGCCCTTCTAGCCGTTCAACTTGTAACAAATCAATTCTTCTTATGGGTGCTGTTGATAGTCTTCTATGCTGACCAAGCCATCTTAGTTTACTTGTCTCCTATTGGAGCTACTCCTAGGTTCCTATGAATAACTTCATTTTTGATCCTATCCTTTCTAGTTTTTCTACTCATCCATCTCAGCATACACATTTCTGCCACATTCATTTTCTGGTCATGTTGTTTCTTGACTGCCCAACACTCCTCCATACAACACATCTGGCTTTACAACTGTCTTATAGAATTTTCCTTTTAATCTAAGTGGTATTCACCTATCACATACAACTCCCCTCCATTTTACCCATCTTGTTTCTAAGGCATTTGTCCATAAGCTTAATTTTGTAATTTGTATTTAATCCTTTGTTAGTTTCATTTTATCAATTAAAACAACATCATTAGAAAATAACATGCATCATGGGACCTCCTCCTAAATATGTTTTGTTTGGTTGATTTTTATCTTCTCTAAATACCTACTAAAGCTTCGCTTGGGGGTGGGGGGTAGGAATGAAAGAAAACTAATTATAATCTATAATTTTTCAGTGGAATAAGTTCTGTCATTTTTTTTTTGATAACACTAAAAGCTGTCTTGGCACTGAACAGAATGAAATGGTGGAGCAGGATTCATTTAGTTGACTCTATATAGTTGGGACAAGGGTTAGATGAATATTAAAATGTGTTTTATCAATGTAAAAGGAAACCACATCATATCCAGAGTTTTGTATCACATCAAACCAATGGAAGTGCTTTCTGCCATAGAAAGAAGATGGAGATTACAGTTCACGATTGAAGCGAAGAAGCCGATACTAGAAGAAGGAAGAAGTAGAAAAATTTCAATTTTGAAACTAAGAGAAAGGAAGAACAACTATCTTCTTAATAGAAGAAGCTACACGTTGGCTGAAAGGATTCATTGGTTTAGCATTTATTTCAGTGAAGAAAATCAGTTGGATGAGTTATTGGAACTTCAAGGGAGAAAATATCATGTGGTTCTAAAATGTAATCAGAATGGTTGGTTTGTGGCTGTAACTGAGGTCTGTGGTAACAATAGAAAACATTTGGTTTGTCTTGCAGAAGGAAAACATGGATTGGGGTGGAGGCTGTTTACTCAGAACTTCAAGATTTTCTGTCATTGAAAGCTGATAAATTGATCGAAGGAGAAGACCCCAAGAACACCCATGAAGAGCTAGAAAATGAAGTGATTGTTGGCAGTGTCAATAAGGTACAAAAGCTGGTCTTGGATGGAAATAGAGAATGATGGGAGAGGAGACTGGTGTTGGAAGCAGGTAGAGATGTTTTGGACTGGGGGATTATTTTGAACGTTCTGAAAAAGAACTTCAAGTGGTTACAGGTGTGTTGGTCTTCCCTTTTGATAAAAGAAAAGCATTACTGGTTGTTGGAGAAAGAACAGTAGAGTTCGACAGCTTTGAAACTGAGTCAGGTGAGATAAGTGGGGTCAAGCCTGATTCTCGTGTGAACAGGCTGCCACAAAGTACTGATATTATTGATGGAGAGTCTGGTGATGTAGTTCTCTAGAGATTAGTGGATAGAGAGGTTGCGATCGGGAGAACAGAAGAAGAAAAGCAAAGATAAGGAGAAGTTTCAAAGATTGGGGACAAGAATAGAGAGAGAGAAAGAGTAGAGCAGAGTCAAAAGGACCAAGAAGTCAAGGAATTAGTACAAAATGGGAAGGTGAATATCAATAAATTGGTGGAGAAGGAAGTCGAGATAGGAAAGTCTCTCGGTTTAATTTTTTGGTGAGGGGAAGGCTTTGCGAAAATAGTATTTGAGAAGTTTGAAAAATAGAAGAGAAAAAGAAAAGGGAAGAACATTTAGAAATAATCAAGGGGTGCGATGAGGAAGGGGGAGAAGAGGAGGGATTGCTCGAGATTGAGTGATCTTGGGGTTGGTGGGAAGATAGGTAGATGGGGAGTAAGTTGGGGTTTTGTAGAGAAGATGGGCCCCATAGGCTGTTTATCCTTTTTTATCTTTTTATGTTCTTTGCTGTAATGGGCCTTAATCTGGGCCCTTATTTTTCTTATGTTATGTTTTTAGTTTTCTGCCCAACCACGGCCTTTCCTATAAATTACTAAAGTTTAACTTAATGAAATGGGATTAGGGGTGTAAGAGGAGATTATGTTCGGAAATCTCTCTCTGAACCCTAGTTGCTGCCACCTTCTTCTTCCTCTTCTCTCTTCTTGAAACCTGATTTCTGCTACTTTATATTGATTCTCTGCAACATTTTAAACAGTCCCTTCATTTCAAAAGGTTGTTTTTCTTCTTGGTATTAGAGCAGGCTCGTCTTCTTCTCTTTTCACCTCTTTTTTCCCATACACAGTGTGTATGGAGAACTGAATCGGATGAATAGTTAAAGAAACCTGTTTCAGTCCAGTTGTTAGTGGTTTTTGGAGAGAAGGGGACTGGTTTTGTTGTCGTCCTAACAGATTCAAGTGTGTTGCCCGAAACCCTAATTTTCTGGAGAAATCGGATTGTAGGCCCCATGGGGAGTTTGACCTAGGCACTCAGTGACTGGAAGTCTTCTTTTCCTTCATCTTGAAGATCAATTCAAGTGGATTGGTGTTCTGTGAAGTCTACAAGGTGCGGCTGAGATTTCTTTGTTTCTCTCGGGTTCCGGGTGACGCAGTTAACAGGTACAACTGCATAGAGGTTGACTCACAACACAGTTTTTCTTCTGTTTTCATTTGTTGTTATTCGAAGGTGTTAGAAGTTATTTTTGAAGTATTTTAAGAAGATGAACCCTTCAGAAGTTGAAAACAAGCATGTTGCTGAATCCGGACAGGTTCCAGGAGCCTTTGTTGACTCTCTACTGGCTGTGACCACAGTCAAGCTAGATGGAACTAATTATCTAGCTTGGTCACAATCAGTAAAAATTCATATTTGCAGTAGAGGCAAATGGGGTTTTATCTCCAGGAGCAAAAGGGCTCTCTCGAAAGATGACCCATTATATGAAAAATGGATGCAGGAAAATTATACTATTATTTGTTGGCTTGTGAACTCAATGCAATCTCAGATTAGTCAACACTATTTGTGGATGAATTCAACAAAGGAAATTTGGGATAGTGTTGCTGAAATCTATTCCCAGAAATTAAATGTAGCCAGGGCTTACAAGTTGAGGAGTGATGTGAAGAATTTGAGATAGGGGAGAAACCTTTAGCTGTTTATTTCTCAATACTGAAGTCTCTATGGCAATAAATTGATTTGATAGAAGCTGTAGCTTGGGACACCACTAATGATGTTGAGACCTACATGAAACTTGTTGGGAGAAACAGGGTGTTTGAGTTTTTGACAGGGCTGAATCTAGAGTATGACATCACAAAGCAAAATATCTTATCCAATGATAGTGTTTCACTGTCTCAAGTCTATGCCTTGGTAAGTAGTGAAGAAAGCAGGAGACTTGTCCAGGTTCAAGGGGCTGGTCTAAATGATCGCTTTGCTAATATGGGAGTGAAACCTAAGGGAGTTACAGGAACTTCAAGTGGCTCAGGGAAGAAAGAAATTATTTGTGAGTAATGTAAGAAACCAAAACACACTAAAGACAAGAGTTGGAAATTGCATCCTGAGCTTCTTCCTCCTCGGTTTCAAAAGAAGTCTGATAATATGAAGGCAGGGAGTGCCAATATTGCTGCTGGTCCAGATAGTGACAGATGCCTAACTGAAGAGAAGACTTCTAGCGAGCAGTTATTAGCTATGAATGCAGAGTATGAGAAGTTTGGAAGGATGATCAATCACCTAGAGGGTGTGGCTTCTTCTTCGAACCCTCCAGGAAATTCAACCTCTTCTGCATTTGCTCATTAAGGTATACGGGCTTTTGCCAATCATGCAACTATTTCAGGTAATCGTACGATCTCTTGGATTATTGATTCTGGTGCTTTTGATCATATGACTAGCCTTTCCACTTTGTTTGTTTCTTATGATTTACTTCCTGGCCGAGACAAAATCACCCTAGCCGATGGCTCTCTTGCCCCTATCTCCGGCAAGGGAACCATCAAGGCTACAAATTCCTTGGTACTTCCTTCTGCTCTTCATATACCCAAGCTAAATACAAATTTGTTATCTGTAAGTAGCCTAAGTAAGCCTTTGAACTGCTGTGTAACCTTCCTACTTATTGTGTTTTTCAGGATCTAGAAGTGATTGGGAGTGGCCATGAGGTGAATGGAATATATCTGCTAGACACTCCTGGACAGAGCCATGGACAACCTCGAAAGGTTGCTTTTGGATCTACATCTACAGATTCTATTAGTCGAGTCATGTTATGTCATTTTTGTTTGGGTTATCCTTCTTTTTCTGCATTAAGTCATTTATTCCCAAAACTGTTTAAAGGGAATTAGTCTGTCCAGTCTTCATTGTGAGTCTTGTGAGTTGTCAAAACATTGTAGAAGCAAGTATCCTTTGAGTAATAAAAGATCTTCTCCATTCCATATTGTGCACTCTGATGTGTGGGGGCCTTACCACTTACCTTCTATGGGTGGTCACAAATATTTTATTTTGTTCATTGATGATTTTTTCACGGTTCACTTGGATATTTTTGATGAAGTTCCGTGATGAAGTTCCCAGACTTGTGAGGCAATTCCATGAATTTGTTCTAACCCAGTTTGATAGTAGAATTAAAATTTTAGATCTGACAATGCAAAAGAATATTTTGAGAAAAATCTGACCTACTATATCACCGATTTAGGGGTTATTCACCAAAGCTCCTGTGTTAGGACCCCAAAACAGAATGGAGTTGCTGAAAGAAAAAATCAGCATATTGTTGAAGTTGCAAGAAGTATCCTATTTGCCTCACATGTCCCTACAAAATTTTGGGGTGATGTTGTTCTCACTACAACTTACCTAATCAACCGTATGCCATCTAGGGTTTTAGGGTTTAAGTCTCCCATTAGTCAGTTCATGCATGCTCCTAAGGACACTCACATGGCGGTAGCAGAGCGGATTCTGTGTTATTTGAAGGGTTCTCCTGGAAAGGGAATTTTATTTGCTAAGCATGGTCATATGAAACTTGAAGCCTATATAGATGCTGATTGGGCCGGAAATATTAATGATAGAAGATCTACCTCTGGATACTGTAGCTTGGTGGCAAGTAATATTGTCTCTTGGAGAAGCAAGAAACAACCAGTTGCCAGATCTTCAGCTTAAACTGAATACAGAGCCATGGCTCATGGAGTTTCTGAACTACTATGGCTTAGATCGTTGATGGAGGAACTGAGTATTGAGCATGATAAGCCATTGATGTTATACTGTGATAATCAGGCTGCCATCAACATTTTCTCACAATCTAGTGCAACATGACAGAACCAAACATATTGAAGTTGATTGACACTTCATTCGAGAAAGAGTGGCTTCTGGATAAGTGTGTCTACCTTTCATCACTTCTGAAGGACAGTTAGCTGATTTCCTCACCAAGGGCATTCCCAAGGCTAAACTTCAGCATGATACTGGCAAGCTTGGCATGATTGACTTCTATGCTCAGGTTGAGGGGGAGTGTAGAGAAGATGGGCTGAATGGCCCATAGGTTGTTTATCCTTTTTTATCTTTTTATGTTCTTTGCTGTAATGGGCCTTAATATGGGCCCTTATTTTTCTTATGTCATGTTTTTAATTTTTTGCCCAACCAGGGGCCTCTCTGTAAAATACTAAAGTTTAACTTAATGAAATGGGATTAGGGGTGTAAGAGGAGATTATGTTCGAAAATCTCTCTCTAAACCCTAGTTGCCGCCACCTTCTTCTTCATCTTCTCTCTTGTTGAAACCTGTTTTCTGCTACTTTCTATTGATTCTCTGCAACCTTTTAAACAGTCCTTTCATTTCAAAAGGCTGTTTTTCTTCTAGTTTACAATGGGTTTGAGAGAAGGAAGAAGGAGGGAGGAGAATGGGTGGAGCATTGAATATTTGATAGCAGGAATGGGCAATCTGATCAATACCCCAAAGCTGATTTGATTGAAAATTTATGGAATTTCCTTGATTTTTGCCTTGTAATGCAGAATCCTTCATGTTAAAGCTTTGAGAATGTATTTGGTGTATCATCTAGACAACCAAGGGTGTTAGGATGTAATTTTTTCTTGATTCTTCAAAAGAAAAAAAAATAAAATAAAAAAAAAACAATGTAGAACTACTATATTGTTAGCTATCCAAGTTCATGTACAAAATGTTCAAGTTTTACAATCCAGTCCTATACGAGGTATTCCCCAAACCAGATTGTCTCTTGTGACTCCTGATTTGGCTGGGGAATTAGATTGACTGTTGGATGATCTAGGTGTCCACCTGAATGAGCAATTTGGGTTGGTAGCCAGAACTCTAGCTTCTTTAGTTAGAAATATAAGCTATTGAGGTACCACATTCCCAGTCTTTAACAAGTTTATTACTACTTGACAATCACTCTCAACCATTAGCTCCATGCATTGGGATGATAATGCAAGTTTTAGACCTTGGATTAGTGCTATCAATTCTGACTTTAAAGAATTTCCAACACCAGGAGGCCTGAAGAAACTTAAGGAGGGTGCTTCCCTTGTTGTCTCTAATTACTCCCCTGATCCCTGGAGTTCCTGTGTTGCCTAGGATGCATTCGGCAAAGTTCAGCTTTGTTCTGTCCATCTCTTGTGCTTCCCATTCCTTAATTCTTTGTTGTCTCCTTAGATGTCTGCTATGATCTGCCAACCTCTCAAATGGTCATATGTAGTGACCCCCTTTGGTTTCATAGGTAGTCAAAACCTATGATACCCGGATACCGTTTAAGGGTGGCATATCGTGTCCAATCATGCCCTTGCCATATCAGGGTAACATTAGTCGAAACCCAATTGATGATTCTTACCATAGTGAGATCGATCAAATTGTGTATAATTTGTTCCTTTTTCTCAAAAATTCTGGTATTCCTTTTCTAGTTGAAGTTCTGGTATTACTTCCTCCCCAAATGCTTAAGAAAATTGCTTCTCTAATAGTTTCCCATAGGATTTTCTGCCTTATTGTGTGACAAGTAATCGATTGAGTAGAGAACAGCTTACATATGAACAATGGTAATACCCATGATACCCATAAAAGAAGAAAAAGTGTTTCTATGTCCCCCAAATACTTGAGAAAATTGCTTCTCTAATAGTTTCCCATAGAATTTTCTGCCTTCTTGTGTGACAAGGGACCAATTGAGTAGAGAAAAGCTTACATATGAACAATGGTAATGCCCATGATACCCAAAAGGGAAGAAAAAGTGTTTCTATATCTGAGATGCAGATGGACAAGATAAGAAGAGGTGATTCATACTCTCCCTGCTCTTAAAATGTAGGAAATCTCTTCAATCATAAATCTGAAATAAGAAAATTTTGTGAATGCTTAAAGTATTTATTTGAAGTTGTCATCTGTTAGGTTGATAAAGCAATTGGTGTTGATGGTTTCATCTAGTTAACTTTGCCTTTTTTTGAAGAAGAAGAAGAGGGGGAGGGGGGGTAAAAGAAAAGCTAATTAGAATCTATAAATTGTCAGTAGAATAAATTATTTGAATTGTTTGCTTTTGATAAGTAACATAGTAAAATTATGTGAATAAAATTAGAGATATTTTGGCTTAAGAAAACAGATATGAAAAAGTCTATTTACCTTTATTCTCTACACTCCCCCTTAACCATTTTATAGTATTTGAATAGTCACCTTCAATGGTTAGAGCAGACTAGCCTTTATCTTAAGCAATTTGAAGACCTGTGCGCACAGCCAAGATTTCTGCTTTTGTAGAATCAGCAACCCCAATTGGCCCACTAAAAGCCCACTCATTGCTACATTTCCTTCCCCTGAATACTCCACCTATTCCCACAGCTCCGAGATTACCCATGGCACTACCATCAAAATTTAGTTCAAGCTCTGATTTCACTCTTGCATAGAGTACTCTAGATCTGTTTAAAGATCTGTGTCAACAAAAGAGAATTTCTCCCAAGTTTTTTTGCACATCATTCAAAGAAAGTCCTTTAAACTCTACAGCAACAAAACCCCACAGGTTGCCCATGAAAGATTTATGAGAAAGCAAATCTTCAAAAGTTCTGGATCTGTTTCTAACAGACAATTGTTTCTTTCTTCCCAAACACATCACATCATTGCTTTATGATAAAATCAATAAAAAAATGGGTCGGTTAATAGGCATGGTTGCTCCAAACCAGCCGGGATTCAGGGGGTTTGTAGCAACTCGCTGGACAAGAATCAGTAATGCAAAAGAGGAGGTGCAAGAACAAGGAAGATGATGAACATCCATCCTTAAGGGGTGTTGTCGAAAAATGAATACTCCCACCCCCAGGGAGTATATTTTATTAAGTGGGCACATATGTGTACATTTACAATATTTGCCCTTGAGACGTTAAACAATTACAAGGAGAAGTAAATGTCTGCACTGTGGATCCAAATGAATAACAATGGTCCATTCTTTAGCTTGTTTTATTTGATTCTCTGTGCAATCATCTATCCAACTCTTATGAACTTTCATTGTGCTTTGACCTTTAATGAGTGAAACTACATGGTTGCCATCCTGCATGCGAATTTAAACTTGCTTTGAGAGATATACTTTTTTTTTTTTTTAAATTGCCTGGGTCATTTATGTAACAGTTCTTCTTAGAGATGATGAAAGTGCCACGAGTGGAATCTAAGCTCAGAGTGTTCTCGTTTAAGATACAGTTTCCTTTCCAGGTCAGAGTGTAATGTATTAAGTATTGTCTTTTTCTAGCATTTCCTGTTGCTAGCTGTTTTTAGATCTGGTTATATTTTCAGGTTTCTGACCTTAGAGTCAGTCTGAATGTTGTTAATGCTGCATCAAACGAGGCAAGTTTTTTCTCTTACTTTTCTATTAATTTTCTTTGAGTTAATTGTGTTCCTATGAAGATTTACATCTTATAAACTACTGTGATCAAAATGTTCCTTCAGATAAAGAGTTCTATGAGATTGAAGAGTATCATGAAAACAATTCTTCAACTGGGAAATGCGTTGAATCACGGAACTGCAAGGGGTAAGTTGAAGTTTGATTGGTTTATATCCATTTTGGGATATATGAGAAATTTTATTTTATTTTTCAACAGAATTAATACAATATACAGTTACTGATAAGAAAACAGGTGGCAAAGATAGTAATATAGTTGCTAATGATGAAGATATCCCCTCCCCTCTTTTGTTTGAATGAAAGTTAACTTTCTTTTTCAGAAAATCCCATGTCTATTGTAAGCAGCACCCCACATAATTTCCAAGTGCAAAGCATGATCCCTAAAGGAACATTAATGTATATTCGACCATTAGGCATTTCAAACAACTGTAGAAGGACTAGGGGTTATAAAGGGAATTCTTGCAAAAGGAAGCAATATTACTAAATTCTTTATACTCATGACATTGCCTATTGAAAAATTCTTCTGTTGGAAAATCTTGACCTTGCCCTTGTTAACCAAGAACACTGTATCAACTTCCATAGTTGCTTCAGTCACAACCTAAGTAACCCTGAAGCAATTTACCGAGTATAGAGTCCATTATTACTTAGAGTGCCTGCCTCTTGTTTAAAATATTAGCTGTAATCATTTCATAGTCTGATTGTGCAATTTCATCAGAAGTTGAGGCAGGAAAGGTGGTTTAACAGGCCTTCTGACCAGAGGTTTCAGGGAAGAGGGAGGGGAAATGACAGGAGGGAGTTTACAAAACAGAAGTGCTACTGGGTGGAAGGGATGGATGGGAATAAGGTCTGAAAAAGTTTAGGGAGCTGGAGACTGTTCTCTTGGAGGGAGAATTGAGTCAATTTCAATGAGAGTTTGCGAGAGGGAGGAAGGGGTGCTTTGTGGACATGGCTAGGCTTTTGGCCTGGTCGGTGGAAAGAAAAGTGACTCTATAGGCAGAGGATGAATGTTTTTAATCGTAGATGGCAGTGGGGAGGTTAAAAGAAAACAATATTTAGAAGCCTGCTTGGTTGGTGTGATGGAAAGTGGAAATTGATCTCTCAGTGGAGGATTTGCAGGTTTGGGGCCTTTGGGTATTGAAGAATGGGGTTTTACATTGGGGGTGAGGGTTAGGAGGATGGCAGGAAATGAATTCCTCTTCATCTTACCTTCGGTGGTTGAAGCCCAAACCACGAATTTTCCATGTGATTTTCCTTATTTCTTCCATGGCTTATCTGCTGGTAGCTCTTATATTTTGGCTTCCACCCCTTGCACTATCATTTAAACCCTAGGCCAAATGTAGTAACTCTTTGGATCATAGTTGTCAAGGCGCCTAGGTGACCACAGGGTGCCCAGTCGCTTAGGCACCTAGGCGGTGGAATTTGAAATTATAAAATAAAGATCCCTAACCCTTCTTAAGCTGCTGTTTTAGTTTTTTATACTGACCAATATACTGTATACTGGTTATTAGCAATAAATTCATTCAAATAAAACATAAATTCCATCATATACATCATAACCTGTTTCAGGAACAAAAAAGGAGGAATGTAGCAAAAAAAAGAGAAAAATAAGGGGGCAGAGCCCCTGTTTTGTTCCCAAATATTATTTCTTAAAAAGTAAAAAAAAAAAAACAAACATAGGATTAGAGGACATGGAGCAAAAAAGAAAAATAGGAGTAAGAGACTTGAATCGTGTTTAAGGTGGCAGAGGCCCTGTTTCAGGCTAATAAGAAGGGAGAATGCTGCGAAAAAAGGAGAGAAAAATAAAGGAACAGAGCCCCTGTTTTGTCCAAAACAAAAGCATTATTAAAAAGTAGTGCAAAAAAATACAGGAAAGTTTTAGAAAGTTGGGGTGCAGCCCCTGTTTCGTTTCCAAAAGTTTTTTTTTATTTTTTTTATTTTTTTTTTAAATAGAAAATAAAATACTGGAGTGCTGGGTTGATTTGAGGAAGGAGGAGGAGGAGGAGGTTGAAGAGGTGGAGCCCCTGTTTCATCCCAAAAAAGTAAGAAATAAAAGGACCACAGAACAATTGGACTGTTGAAGGGGAAGAAGAAACTTGCCGGGAGGTCTTGGATGACTTGGACCGAGTCCTTGGTTTCTCTTCTCAGTCTCGGTTTAGAATGCAAACCCAAAGAAACTTTCGTAGCTTTAGTAAATGTAAAACAAGAGTAAACAGAGGAAGAAGAAGAATTTGTTATATGTATTCATCAATCTCATATGTATATATACAAGTTACAAATTCTATGTTAGGAAAGAAGACTAATTAAATTCCTACAACCCCTCAAGCTGGAGCATAGATATTAATCATGCCCTGCTTGTTACAAAGATAATCAACCCGGACCCCATTAAGAGCCTTCGTGAAGATATCTCCCAGTTGTTCTCCTATTTTCACATAACCTGTGGAAATCAAACCTTGTTGAATCTTTTCACGAACGAAATGGCAATCAATCTCGATATGCTTA